CATTTCGCTACAATGGAATATGTGGTAAGTGTTCGGGACAATTGGCGGTTTATCATTAGATGTATACAATTATCACGATTACTTTAGTTCTGAACGTAGCTGCACGAAAGGTTTTTCTTACAATGGTTATCTCTATAAGATTAGGAAAATGGGAATCCATCTTGTTAAAAAAAACAGTCATAAATTCTATAATTCAGTAATACAATGTTTCATAAATGATATGGATATAGATAAGACAAGCCTTATATATATTTACGAGGAACGGCTGTTCAAAGTTGTTCAAAATTGATTTTAAAAATCTTTCAAGTTAATTAATTGTCCGCATTCAATTAATTCTATTTCTGAGGTATACATTGAGATTGTATAACATTTGAAGGTGAATAAAATATCCAGACTATTGTTACATTTTATCTGTCTTTACTGTATATATATATATAAATAATGATCTTAATGAATAAATATATTGTCCTGAAAGTAATGAAAATAAATATAGCTTAAATGTATCTATACTGGCCTTACAAAAATGTAGTGTTGACCATACAGATATTTGCCCGGATATACTTTTAAACATTATATCGATAATGGATGATCTTTAAAATCTGATCATAGCATGGTGTGTGTAGTGGACTGTTGGTCATTGTGTTAGGAAATACATACGAGAAGGGAGATAATAACTAGAACCTGAATTATTGGTGAGCATTAATTTTCAAGCTTTTTTATCTTACTTTTCCTTCAGTTTTCCCCCATTTAGTACCATGGTTTAAAAAAACGTCACGAGATATCCATACTCTTTTGCTTCGTGTTTGATAAAAAGCTTTGATAGTCCCTGTATTTACAAAACGACACATCAATCATCCTCTTCTGCGAAGACTCAGCTATTGTAGTTATTTCTAGAGGAATTGAACAATGTACTCAGATACGACAAGTCAGCTAGTGTTCCTTCAATTTGTCCCCAGTAAATCCATCTCGTTCCAGCTACTCATTTTCTGATTTCTGACAAAGATTCAACACATCTATGGTAGCTCCGGCTTGAGGAAGTTATTTTGTTTCGGTACTAAACTGGTATAACTTTCTCTGACATTGAATCAACACATATACGGTAACTGCTTAATTTAGTTATTCTATCGTTTTATTTTCCAAAGAAACTGTGTTTATTTTCCTTCATGTCCGTATTATAAACACGAACTCAGCAGATGAAATAGGTGAATAACAATCAACTTGAAAAGTGTTAATAATGTTAATTTTGAATTAAGTATAGTCTCAGACTGCTAAGTTAATTAGTGAACGGTGTATGGTACACACTGCGACCATTACTCAGATACGTAACATAGACTTAATACAGAAGTACAGATTTGGTTGTCTAAGTGACTTTGTCTCAATCCATTAGTTTCATCAGCTACTAACTGCTGAATTCTTGTTTCTTGTAACATCATCAACTGTATTGTTCTAATAGTTGTCATGACAACAGATTATGTTTGTATTGTATTTCCTTGTTCATTAGCCTTCTCTCTCTTGATTTTAATATATATTGGTTATCATTGTTATTTTTTTAATACGAACAAAATTTTCTTTTAATTACGTAATTATATATTTCGTCCATTATATTTTGCAATAAAGATTTCTTATTTTACCTAGTGTCTATTGATCACAGCACTCTAACGATCCAAGATCTTAAGTATGGATCATTACTTTGTCTTAAACTGACAATTAGTGAACGTCAGTCATATGGGATTTACATTAAGGTTTAAAACTAAGTAAGTCTGACAACATTTTTATGGCGCTAAACATACCCGCATTTCTAACAATCGGAATTTTACCAGACCAGTATCTAGAGCATGTCGTTAGTTTGTAGTGAAATGATGTTCATTATTGATATCCTGTGTAACTAATTATATAAGCAAGAAATTCAATTTCGCTATATTCGCGAAAAGAAAAGAAAACGCGAAATTAAATAACTAACGAACATTATTATAGCAATCAAAATATCAGAAAATGCTTGTTTTCTTGTTTACAACGATAAAGAAAGAGAAATGCGAAAATAAATACCTGTCAAGTAGCCCAAACCGAATAACCGCAAAATATATACACCGCGAAATTGAAAACAACACTATACATAACCCATCATCGTAGGAATTTCACGATTATACATACACGTATTTATTACAACCTGATGTATTTTGAAAATGAATAAATTCTAACAAAATTTGCTTATGGTTTCCTTTCATTGTATGCTATATACAATGATTTTTAATAAGTGGTCGAGTGGCGTAGTGGTAACGCACTCAGCTTCCACCTAGCCGTCCGAGGTTCGAATTCGTAACGGACGTGAAAAGGTAAGAGGTCAACTTGAAATAACTGTTTCGCAATTCTTGTAAGTTTATATCTAATGATTTTTAATATAAACTACGTCATTGACAGGGCTAAGGTATGAATGTTCTAAATATTAACACGTGTGCATTGTACATACGGAAATATGCCCTTATGCAGGTCCTGGTTCGCGGTTAATTGAAATTCTGATCGTGTATTTGCTTTAAAGAAAAGTCAATAACATGTTATTTGTCACAAGCTACGTACTACAATTTGTTTTGAGTGGTTTTGTGTACAGAATAAGGTGAGATTATATGCAGACACCATACACAAATCTATGGATTTATGAAAAGCATATTACACTGTAATATCTCCACCCGATAATTTCATCCACCTGTCTTGTCATCACCCTGTCATGCTATAATTCAATTATGTGACCATCCAGTAATGTACAAGCCACAAAAATTATATTTCTAGTGCTCGACACTAATCACCGATCCAGAAGGACTGCAGAGAGAGGGGCTACTTTTTTCCGGTTAGTAGTTCTTTGTTCTTTCTCTTTATATTATTTTATTTCATTGGGTCGACAGATAAATGTTTCAATGTCCAACATCTTCCGAAACCCTGAATCTACATCTGCACGACGATTTGTCTATACAACAGCCGATCCATTAGAACGTAAAGTATAACAGTAGAGTACATGAATGGTCGGGTCACAACAAGGTCTGACAACCTGTTGATCAGGAGTATCCATGAATCCTATCCCAAATAAACAGTAGATAAGGGATTGAGATATGGTGGCTCCAGGTTAACACGTGATGATTACTGTTACAGTATTCATGTCTCAAACGTCCCATTTCTCTAAATAAAGATATCTCCGGCTCTCAACTCATGACAGGTATATCTTAATCGTCTTTGTACTAAATGGGTCAGTTTAACAAATAGGTCGGTGTAAGGATGAGAGAAATAATTTCTTTATCTAAATGTTCACATTTAACCTGAGTGGATTCATATCTACTCTGTGATATATTTTTAGCAATTTTCAATCTTTATCACATTGTGGTGACTTTAAACCAAGTCAAGGAGGTCAAAGTTTAAAGTTCATTACATTACAAGCGCTAAGAATCTGTAACCGAGTGAGTAATTTCTTTATGAAAAAAATGTACTAACTTAAGTTGTTTAAGACACTAAATATTCGAAATTAATTACTGAAGACATAGATGTCCTGAAAAAAGGACACAAAAAGTTAATATTTAAAGACAATATGAAACATTCCGATCGAGTTTCAACGTGTACTGTTTCTATTTATATATAATCAATATTCAGATTAATGACAGTCTTGTCACGAAAAAATCACATTGAAATATAGTCTAAAAACTTAAATCGAATCAACACAATATTGTTTTGTTCACGGTTCACGTAAGAACATTGTTTTACTGTAGCTACAAAGTTCAAAACCATTGTGACGTGAATAACAGTCCTTCAAACTTCTCGACATATGAATGTATTCTACAGCACGATTTTCATGTATCTAAATATACCAGTGTCAAAACACGTGGGAAACTCGTCATCTGGCGAAATTGAGTTACATAAAATTAACGTCAATTTAACCCCTATTTATTTACTAAATTACCATTTGACGTGTTGTGAGGTATGTACCTGTATATATCGATACAAATCACGGAGGAGTACAGCCAACTAGCTTTCTCTAAGGCGACCTACGGTCAAGAAAGAGATGGCATGGAGTCGTCCTTAAGATTATAATTCCGCTATAATACCATGGTGAATTTTCCAGATCCCATTTCTAGTCAACAAAGACCAATTGATTAAATATAAGTTGACAGGGTTTTTTTTTACCGCAATAAGATAAATCTGATATATTTTGATTTAACAGTCTAGAATAAAAGATGGGAATATGAACACTTTAATCGTGATTCAAATTCGTCTCTCCAGACATGGCCATCCTTTCTTGTTTGTATAAATGTTACTTAGATAGTAAGCCTGATGACACTCCGATAACAATGAACAATATGGTTAGACAACCGTACGATCAAGCCATTATGTAGGTCATATACCCTAATCATTTGTATTGTTTACAAGAGATATCTGTCTTATATACGTAGACGATAGCGGGGAAGGTATTCACATAGGTACACGGCATTAGAAACATGCGGAATGTCGTGTGTTAAGGAAACATAATGTGTTTGCCTTGTTAATGCTTGGTCGAAAAACGACAGAACTTTCATTACTTTGGAACAGTATTAAATGATGTGTAAAGGCACAACTCGATTTTTCTTTGTCGGTTTTATTAGAAATAATCACATACATCATATCCCTGATATGTATGAATGGTATAAATTGCAGGGGTGATTCCAGCAAACTTCAGATTAAAACTTGGTTTGATTTATGTAATTACTGAAATCTTGAAATTGAAAATCAAAGAAGAATCGAATTCTAACTGAGATATCTTCCCATGATAACTTTGATCAATCTTTGTGTTTGCTTGTCACTGTAGACACTCAAAAACCGATCTGAGCAATTAATTCATGAGATCTTAAAATATTCTGCATTATGCATTGCACATGTAACATTACGATATCAAGAAATGTCTACACTTTCCTGGATAATGGACTGTTACCATGGACTCTCGATATGTGTATTTTTTTAGTATTACAGAAAACATAGTTCTCACGTACAGTATGGTTAATATATATGATGTAATTAGAGAGTTTCCCTGATTAAACATGTAAGGCTTATGTAGTTATGATTTCTCGAAGCTTACTGTCTGTATTTGGTTCGAACCATTCCGCCACCATGTCCACGTATTTCCACGGAAGAGTACTTGTCCGTTCCTTAACTAGAACACAATGGTAGGCTGTGAATACCTGATAAGATATATAGAATGCTATGACAACATCAATTGTATAATGTCCTCTGCACAACAGAATGAATATAATCCCGCTGATATTTAAACACCAAGTAATGCCGCGAATAAAACAGCGAGACCTTGGAGCGTACTCGTTAATAAATAGGTTCAAAATTGTTAAAATTGTAGTATGTCCACTAAATATATAGTCACCACAGGTCTTAGCACCAGTCATCTGCAACCCAAAGCGGGTGTAAAATTGATACGCCCTGTGTAGTTTGTCCCATACGTTCGATTCAGGAAAAGTATAACACTTCTTGTTAACGTCCGGAACGGGCAGTGAAGTTACAAGAATACATACACTCCTCAGCCAGTACATGGTACCAGCTATAAGAAATGTCCTATGGGCGATTTGAAATCCTTTTTTATGAATTGACGTAACAACAGCCCATAAAAGTACCTCCGTGGCCAGGCAAATCTCGGCAGCATGTGCAGCCCACGGTTTGTAAGGTAGATTGTCCAACACTAAGTCCGGGAGAGGAGGGTATTTATCCCTGTCCGGCAGACGGTCATTTACAAAGATGACCGCTACACTTACTGTTACGTGAGCAACAAACAGGTATACAACACTAACTAGTACTTTAAACAAACTTTGTGACGTTTGAGGCGTTATACTTTTGCCGAATAAGTCAAAATATTTGGATCCCATTTTTCAGGATGGAACTGTTGCTTGCTTGTGTTCTTAATACTTTAAAAGATGATGCGGCACGGCGACCACAAGGTACATCCTTATACAGATAACGTCAGGCAGGTGTAAACTTCAGACTGGATACTGAACCATTTCACACGTGATATTGATTGTTACAACGTACACAGTGTGCCCGTTGAGAAGCGCTTAAAATTTTGTCGATATCCTTTAACTTCAAGAACAATTCTTCGTGTAGTTGAATTAACGAACAATGCAACATATATGCCCGATTAGTCACGCCCCCTTACAGAAACTGTATGAACGGTTGTCTTAAATTCACGTGACCGGCATTTACAACTTCGTCATGTGACCACACATTTCAACCTGATTATGATACAGTGTATCGTGTTGTATAAGTTAGATCCCTTCATTGACAATCAGATATATTTCACTGTATATAATCCTTGTAAATAACCCGATTTAGCCCCTGATAATGACAAGGGGCCCAACTGGACTTCACTAATCTACATTATCATGATAGGGTAACTACTCGTTATATAAGACTCGACATAGTAAACGTAAACGATATCTGTCATACGCATAAAAACGAATTGATCTGCCTTGTTGTCAATATGATGACAGTGTGGGTGGAGCCATCTGTAAATGAAACACGAGAGTATCAGAGGAAAGTATTTTTAATGTAAATGTCATTGCTAAAAATAGTATTAATTCAGATTGCACACAAACTATAACAGTGATAAGCTTCAAAACAATATCAAGACCATTCATTACACAACTGGATGAACAACAGAATTATCATCTCAGTACTTGCACCAGTGTCGCTGGATAAGTGACTAACTATGTAGTATATAGTTGTATGAGTTAAAGTTATATGATTATAGGTTTATAGTTCTAGATTTTACACGGGTAAACGGTACATGTATAGAAAATCTTAAATGGACTTTTATTCATATAGTATTAATGAAACAAGCCGTAGATTTTCTTCCATTTTAACAAGCATCTGGCGAGTTATAATGGAATTTCAGAGTCGATAGATTTTTTTTTTTCAAAAGTCGTGTAAGTTAACATTTTATTAGGCTGATGCACAATCAGAAATCGGCATAATTCTCACTGTACAGCTAGCTCTCCGTTATGTCACGTATAAGAAAGACATTTATGTAATGTCTTATTCTTTATAATATAGTAGCCTGTGCATAAAAGGCAAGTATACAACTGACTATGTTAAGCTATATTGTGGGGAGGGCTTACACGATCAAGCGAGTGTTTCTGTGTGATAAAGGAACTTAAATACGGAAAAGCGACTTAAGTGTATAACATTAAATTGTTTATGTTCTGAAGATGTGTTGTTGACCGATTTGATATCTGAAACCAATCTTGTGTGATTCAAATTAATTCATTTTTCTTTTGTTTTCAGCATTTGTCACTTAATTCAGACACAGAGAGGAAAATGTCTGACATATGGAGGAATGCTGTTTCTATGCATGTTTTTGGCGTGTGGTAAAATAATCTGTTTTCCAATGACATGGAATTGTTTTGAACTTCCGACATAGATTTGCATAAAAAAAGTGCACCTAAATTTAGACTATTGATGTAATGGAAAAGGTAGCCGGTCCAGGGAGCCTTCACATACAAAGCTTTGTTCGATAGTGGGACCGTATATATCCGATAGTGGGACCGTATATATCCGATTGTGGGACCGTATATATCCGATTATTACTGCAGATCGGGGAGGAAATGTGTGTTGTGAGTGAGTCTGATCAGATGTTTTATTTAAACAGGAAACAAAGCTATTGTTTTTCGTTATCACATAGCAGACAGAAGCATTAAATACAACAAACATGTGTGAAAGGAAAATCGTGACAGCGCTGACCATGTCAGTTACATGACACCATCTAAAACTATCACATTTCATAGGTAACATTTGTCAAAACAGCGAGCTGATACAAAATTAAAGCTAAAGAAAAGTACACTTGTGAAACATGTATATTGATGACGGGTCATTTACATTGTTCACTCATTTGCAAGCTGTTTTCTTAATGCTATGTTAGTAAAAATAAATTCACTGAAACCACGAAGATGTGTGATACTTGGAAAAGTATGAGAGTTATAATGCTTGGGGGAAAAAAATCATGAAATCACATGTTTGACACGTGTATGGCATTCCCCGCCCTCTACATTGATCAAAGGCACAACTTTTCATATAAACATACTACATTGATTGGAATTGATGAACATTTATAAGTCCAAGTCCCTGGAATCAGTAGATAAGTCATCAAATTTGCTACTATTTGATGTTGACAGACAACACAACCTGAGAGTGAAACATTATTTGAAATTAAGATAAAATACGCATATGTGTATTTTTTTTTTGTATATGGGATATGGAATTTTGAATTCGTATGATGTTTCTGTGTTCAATTGGCCCCCTGTTTTAAGATATCGTTCTCAAGAAAGTTATCAAAATACAACAATATGACATCAGTTATATACTGAAACACATAAGGAGCTACAAAAAAAATCGGCTGGTACAAAATAGATAAATAAATACACAAAACAGAGTCATGGTAGACCTGTTACATATTGTAAAACTGACGCAAACAACAGGAAAGATACAACATTTGCCTGTCATACACACGGGACTTCCGAGGTTAATAAGTAGGTCGTTCTAAATCGCGTGTCTAAGTTATATTAGCGTTCCAGTGATGTAATCCTATCGACTTGCTCTGAGTTATCTACCACACACCAGTATGTCGTGATAATATCAAATTGTCTAAATTTGTGTATTTGATAAAAAAGACATCAATGGATTTCGCAATAACACCAACGTTGACTATGGGGTGATCGAGGACTGGTAGATAGGGAAATTCTTGTAAATGAACATCTGGTTTAATAATGTTGCTTTTCTTTTTATTTCAATTGTGAATTTAACACACATTATGATTATCAATGACTGCAGTATTAAACAACGCGACAAGAGTATTTGACTAGTTAGTTTGAACAGATTTATATATAGACTGTATCAGACTAACGACGATTTGACGTTCTGTACGATTTTTTAAAACATGCCAATATTTTTAACTGAAATCTTATTTAAAGGGATAAGGAAAAAATATTTGCTGACCAAAGAACAGGAAAACACCCAAAAAACTTTCAACACTTTCTTTGATAATCAGTCGTCCTTATTCAAAATATAGTGCACCAAGCAATATGATATAATTCACCAGCCTATGAATTACGGCCGTACCATTTAAACAAGTGTCATAATTCATTTCAGTTGTGTAGTTGACAAGTATTTTGGAAATAAAGAAAGTCTTTTTTTAGATTTGAAATAATACAGGAGAAAAGGCCTTAAACAGCTTATTAGCTGGTCATTTTAACTTACTCTTCGTGGCTAATTTTTAAAATACCGAAAATAAACATAGTAAACTAAATGTACTGGAAAATTAACCTGCTAGAGCTAGGTAAACATGGTGATTATTATCTACTCTTTGAAAAAAGACACTATTTGTGTTCTTATATGTAACAATGTATACATATCCGGCTAATAAACACAGAGTATTTACATACTCTGACTGTACAGTCACCACAATGAATTATAATCAGATCACTGATGTAGTGACTTAATCCCGGAATTCATTTTAAGTGTATGTATAGACAGCGAATTTAATTTACGTAAACGTTAAAATAAGGTAAAACTGAAACAAAGAACTTTAAGGTACGTCACTTTATACAAAGATAAGTTCACTAAGATATAAACGTTATTTGCGTAAGAAATTCACGCGTCAGGGTATTTTAGCAGCTTATAGTTTTGTTTCATAACTTGTTAATCCGCTTTAATGTATTGAGCACAGGGTGTTTTTTAATCACCATGGCGCATTTGTGTGTTCTTGTTTTTAACCTTACGATTTAACATTAGATCACGAATTTGTTTCAATCCCTTTACTTAATAGAACAAGGGGTGGATTTAGATAACAGAAGACCCTATTATAAATAGACAATACCACTTGTCGAATTGTTGTGTTGTGCTGTACATTAGCTGTCTGACACTATAATGGTATGGCCAAGTAATAGATTTAGCATGCTCGCAGCTAGTTATCTTCCTTACAAAAAAAGAAATGAATCTATTCAATGATAACACACACAATAAAGGAAGTGATTGGAATTTATTACTTTGAATCAACGAATTCGATGATTTTTGGAAATGTTCTAATCTTTGAATGGACTAAGACCCCATCATCTGATTGGATTAAGCTGGGATCTTAATTGTGAAATAAAACAGATATCTAAATGTTTTTAATATTTAATACGTTGTGGCCCAGCTCTTTATCATAAAATTAGGTTTAATCGGGGGTCTTATACAAGATTGCATGTTCAAACAAGGGAAGAAAAAATATTTATTTTAACTTTTACAATTTGTTATGGACAATAAATAATTATCAAAGTTAATCCTTATAATTTAATCATTCAACGATGACTTTACAAAATAATGCCTTATTTTTTTATAGTGAAATTATAAAAAAAATGAAAAAAAATGGCCAATGAAAACCCTTGTTTCGAAGAGGAATACATTTTAAAAACAGATATTCTTTTGCATCTTTTGCTTCACAACCGTCACTAACTATATACACTTAGACCAAAATGATTATTCGCTCTCGATATCATAATCCAGTCTATAACAAGGGGCCCAATAGGCCTGCATCGATCACCTGGCTAATTAAACTATCTAGTCATTTAACTGAACTTTTGTAATCTACCATTAAATAATAAGTATTGCTTAACACAGCGTCTGTAAACCATCTAAATATATCATTCATGTGCAAATTAAATCCTGTATCTCTTATAGTTTACTACGTATGGGCCGCAAATACTGACATTGAAAAAGGTATTTCAAAAGTCATACTTTAAAACAATTCTACAAATCACAATAGAAAATGTCTGGAATTTTTCTGACATAAAAATGACATACAAAATTAATAACTGAAGACTACATCAGAGCAATTTTTTCTGAACAAATTTTGTCAAGAACCGCTCGGTCGTTCATGACTTTTAGCGATATGTAGAAAAAGTTGACGGATGCCACGGTATGACATTTGGCTTGCATCTAGACGTCCGCGGTTCGATTCCCGAAACGGACGTGAAAAGGTTTAAACACGAGATAATAGCATCTTTCAATATAAATGAAGAAATATATACAGTATGGAAAGAAAATGATGAATGAAACGGTAGGTTACAGCTGTTTCATCCTTGTAGGACTCGTCATCGTTAGTGTATCAGGTACCATGTCTATCACTACAAAAATTATCTAGGGATCTCCGAACAGTTTAATGTGCAGTTAACAGTTATCAATGTGAATGTTCCGCCCGTAGTATGTAATCGCTGTGTATTACCTGAAGGGTGTTTCATTGACAGGTTGATATAATTTAGATCAAGATAAGGTATCGTACACATAAAAGAATTATTTGTTGACGTTTGGGCGCCTCTGATTTTGACATTCCCTTAGTCATTTGGTTTATGTATTTATATATCTTGATGAAATGATACTATCGCATATGACGTTTACTGGGTCAATTGCCCATATGAAGGCCCAGTGTTACTCTGAGGTGGGGTCTTCGTGTAGTTAGTAGTTACCTAACATTATATAATTAGATACGTTAGATATAGAAGATACAGCAAACTGCATACTTGCCAACCCTTTGTTACAATTTTTTTAATAATTCGGTATTTTGACATTTTCAGTGTATCCTTTAAACCTGTCAAAATTGCTGCACATATTTTTTAACAAGAAATGGACAGGAGAATGACTCAATGTGTATCTTGAAAAAAAATAACTTTTTTTGTTCGACAGAGTGATCAGTCGAACGGCTATACCAATCACACATAAACCGATTATCGTTAACATGATCAAGCCACATAGACGATACACCGATTGAAAGTCATATCTGACGCTAAATATTGTTTTTATTACATACCTTTAATTTGAACTAATTAGAGATTAATTATGAAATATACTATTCCTTTGTACGATATGAAGCTGGACGTATTTGGTGCTCTCTAGTTAGCCTGTTGGTTCCGTTGTACGATATGAAGCTGGACATATTTGGTGCTCTCTAGTTAGCCTGTTGGTTCCGTTGTACGATATGAAGCTGGACATATTTGGTGCTTTTTAGTTAGCCTGTTGGTTCCGTTGTACGATATGAAGCTGGACATATTTGGTGCTCTCTAGTTAGCCTGTTGGTTCCGTTGTACGATATGAAGCTGGACATATTTGGTGCTTTTCAGTTAGCCTGTTGGTTCCGTTGTACGATATGAAGCTGGACATATTTGGTGCTTTTCAGTTAGCCTGTTGGTTCCGTTGTACGATATGAAGCTGGACATATTTGGTGCTGTTCAGTTAGCCTGTTGGTTCCGTTGTACGATATGAAGCTGGACATATTTGGTGCTTTTCAGTTAGCCTGTTGGTTCCGTTGTACGATATGAAGCTGGACATATTTGGTGCTTTTCAGTTAGCCTGTTGGTTCCGTTGTACGATATGAAGCTGGACATATTTGGTGCTGTTCAGTTAGCCTGTTGGTTCCGTTGTACGATATGAAGCTGGACATATTTGGTGCTTTTCAGTTAGCCTGTTGGTTCCGTTGTACGATATGAAGCTGGACATATTTGGTGCTCTCTAGTTAGCCTGTTGGTTCCGTTGTACGATATGAAGCTGGACATATTTGGTGCTGTTCAGTTAGCCTGTTGGTTCCGTTGTACGATATGAAGCTGGACATATTTGGTGCTCTCTAGTTAGCCTGTTGGTTCCGTTGTACGATATGAAGCTGGACATATTTGGTGCTCTCTAGTTAGCCTGTTGGTTCCGTTGTACGATATGAAGCTGGACATATTTGGTGCTCTCTAGTTAGCCTGTTGGTTCCGTTGTACGATATGAAGCTGGACATATTTGGTGCTCTCTAGTTAGCCTGTTGGTTCCGTTGTACGATATGAAGCTGGACATATTTGGTGCTTTTCAGTTAGCCTGTTGGTTCCGTTGTACGATATGAAGCTGGACATATTTGGTGCTCTCTAGTTAGCCTGTTGGTTCCGTTGTACGATATGAAGCTGGACATATTTGGTGCTGTTCAGTTAGCCTGTTGGTTCCGTTGTACGATATGAAGCTGGACATATTTGGTGCTTTTCAGTTAGCCTGTTGGTTCCGTTGTACGATATGAAGCTGGACATATTTGGTGCTGTTCAGTTAGCCTGTTGGTTCCGTTGTACGATATGAAGCTGGACATATTTGGTGCTTTTCAGTTAGCCTGTTGGTTCCGTTGTACGATATGAAGCTGGACATATTTGGTGCTTTTTAGTTAGCCTGTTGGTTCCGTTCTATGTCTTGTTTTACTTTGGATTATGATTATGTTTATATGATGGTATTTTGTTTATTATTTTAACATGAGTTGGAAACTGTAATGTTTTATTTCAAATAATGCCATTCAGCTAACAGCTGTACATTCATCCTTAGGAATATCATGTAGCTTATAATTCGAAATATGGTTTGCAGGGATACTAGTAGCATTGGGAAAGGGCAACATGAACACCTTACATCCAATCATATACTTGTAATTGGGTGAATTGAACGAAGCAAAATTCAAATTAATTGCAGCGCTATTTATTTGACAGTTTATAGCTTTTTCTATCGTTATACTGTTTGAATACATCAACACTTTTGGTGTAAACGTCAATATCATGTCGTTGTAAAACATTCCTTGGTATTAAAGCTTCGTGGTTTTTTTCATCATATCGTGATTAACAACTGAATGGCTGGTCAGTTTACAATACAACATTACACTAAGTAGACTAAATAGGTTGTCTAAATCATACGGCCAGGTTAACCAATACAGCGTCACATTTATTGACCCCCATATAATTTTGATTGAAGTTTTCGTGTCATTGAATATCCATTCTTTCATTTAAAAAACTTATGCCAATATATCATTAAATAGACGCTTAACTGAATGCCAATTTGACATCGGTATATTTAAACCAGGGTCAAAACACTGGCGCTTGTGACGTTTATGTGCACGCATTGCATGCGTGTATTGTAAGTCAGACCAGTCATTCATGACTAAACTAGTTTATCAATAAGTCTACTATAATGATAGAGCACCATGATTGTTATCTCAGTATACAAAACAAATATTTATTGTCTACTATCACAGCTCTCTGTGGAGTATCATTTAAGTCCGTTAGTGCAGGAGTACTATGATATCATTACTAACATTTACAAATGTGACGTCATTACAAAGTACACAATCCGTCCAGCCATTCATAGTGGTATATCAAATCTTTACTTGAAGTGTATGCATTTAATAGGGGTCAAGGGAGCTGCTTGGTTAGGGTGTGGTGAAGCTCTGGCAGAGGTTTTTGGGGGTTTTGGGGTGAGGGTAAGAGGGGGCAAGCCCCCTGAATCTATCGGGTTTTAAGTGATCAGAAAAGCTGAAAAATACTGATATTACTTAATTACCATAATCAACTTACAAATATGGTAATTTCTATGTCTATCTGCTCTGTGGCACGTTCAGCAGTATGAAAGGCTTCACACTTTAACTTTAACTTGAAGCTGTCTTTCATGTTTTATGCAATATTATTCTGGTTTGTATATATTACAGGTTGTAAATTTCAAAATGAAGAATGAAGCAGAGACAAACATGTTTTGAAGTTCTTCTAGTATTTGTCAGTAATGCTAGGGGTCTAAAAACTTGAATTTCCAGGAGGCGACTTTGGAAAATCTTTCTAGACCGAAATAAATGTGATAATAAAACGGTATCAGATACACTCACTTCATAATTCAACCAATGTCATGATTTTCAATTCTAGTATTTAAGGATGTGGAAAAGAACATGGTTGTGTGTACATTTAGAAATTTTTATCATATTGAAATTTTTTGTCTTTCATTTAACTGACAAGACAATGTTTATTAAAAGGAAAAATCAATCTAGTTAAGGTAGCAATGTTGTCGTTATAACGATATATCTGGATTATTTTAGCCTTTACTGTTACAAGCTCTAATATGCCTTGCCTATTGTGTAACGTTTGTTCAATGACTTTTACAAGACAAATGCAAAATTTCTAAAATATCGTTAACTGTTGCAAGCTCTCATGTTTAAAGACTTTTCACGATGCGACAAAGTAGTACAATCTTTTGACATTTATGAGATGTAACATAATATAGGACGTCCCTTAAGTGTTGAGGCGATAGGGGTGTTTCCAAAGTCGAGAGAAACAACTAACACGTGCCAAGGATTTAGGTCCACGATCAATTTCTTGGCCTCCCAGTTTGTGACCTTAAATGGAGATAAGAGATTATATCGCCTGTGGCTCTTCAAGAGAACATGACAGAGTCAATATACAACAATAAATCCATAAAGGTAGAATATCAAGTAATAACAGTATCCAAGTATATGACATACTTATAATGTTCGTGACATACTGAGGTCGACATTACAGATGGTGATACCTTAAACACTACTGGAGATGAGGTCGACATTACAGATGGTGATACCTTAAACACTACTGGAGATGAGGTCGACATTACAGATGGTGATACCTTAAACAGTACGCGAGATGAGGTCGACATTACAGAGGGTGATACCTTAAACACTACTGGAGATGAGGTCGTCATTACAGATGTTGATACCTTAAACACTACTGGAGATGAGGTCGCCATTACAGAGGGTGATACCTTAAACACTACTGGAGATGAGGTCGCCATTACAGATGGTGATACTTTAAACACTACTGGAGATGAGGTCGACATTGTAGATGGTGATACCTTAAACACTACTGGAGATGAGGTCGCCATTACAGATGGTGATAGCTTAAACACTACTGGAGATGAGGTCGCCATTACAGATGGTGATACCTTAAACACTACTGGAGATGAGGTCGCCATTACAGATGGTGATAGCTTAAACACTACTGGAAATGAGAGCGCCATTACAGATGGTGATACCTTAAACACTACTGGAGATGAGGTCGACATTACAGATGTTGATACCTTTAGCACTACTGGTGATGAGGTCGCCATTACAGATGTTGATACCTTAAACACTACTGGAGATGAGGTCGACAATACAGATGGTGATAGCTTAAACACTACTGGAGATGAGGTCGCCATTACAGATGGTGATACCTTAAACACTACTGGAGATGAGGTCGACATTACAGATGGTGATACTTTAAACACAACTGGAGATGAGGTCGACATTACAGATGGTGATACTTTAAACACAACTGGAGATGAGATCGACATTACAGATGGTGATACTTCAAACACTATTGGAGATGAGGTCGCCATTACAGATGGTGATACCTTAAACACTACTAGAGATGAAGTCGCCATTACAGATGGTGATACCTTAAACAGTATTGGAGATGAGGTCGCCATTACAGATGGTGATACCTTAAACACTACTGGAGATGAGGTCGACATTGTAGATGTTGATACCTTAAACACTACTGGAGATGAGGTCGACATTACAGATGGTGATACTTTAAACACAACTGGAGATGAGGTCGACATTGTAGATGTTGATACTTTAAACACTACTGGAGATGAGGTCGACATTACAGATGTTGATACCTTAAACACTACTAGAGATGAAGTCGCCATTACAGATGGTGATACCTTAAACAGTATTGGAGATGAGGTCGCCATTACAGATGGTGATACCTTAAACACTACTGGAGATGAGGTCGCCATTTTAGATGTTGATACCTTAAACACTACTGGAGATGAGGTCGCCATTACAGATGTTGATACCTTAAACACTACTGGAGATGAGGTCGACATTACAGATGGTGATACCTTAAACACTACTGGAGATGAGGTCGCCATTGTAGATGTTGATACCTTAAACACTACTGGAGATGAGGTCGCCATTACAGATGGTGATACCTTAAACACTACTGGAGATGAGGTCGACATTACAGATGGTGATACCTTAAACACTACTGGAGATGAGGTCGACATTACAGATGGTGATACCTTAAACACTACTGGAGATGAGGTCGCCATTACAGATGTTGATACCTTAAACACTACTGGAGATGAGGTCGCCATTGTAGATGTTGATACCTTAAACACTACTGGAGATGAGGTCGACATTACAGATGTTGATACCTTAAACACTACTGGAGATGAGGTCGACATTGTAGATGTTGATACCTTAAACACTACTGGAGATGAGGTCGCCATTACAGATGGTGATACCTTAAACACTACTGGAGATGAGGTCGACATTACAGATGTTGATACCTTAAACACTACTAGAGATGAAGTCGCCATTACAGATGGTGATACCTTAAACAGTATTGGAGATGAGGTCGCCATTACAGATGGTGATACCTTAAACACTACTGGAGATGAGGTCGCCATTGTAGATGTTGATACCTTAAACACTACTGGAGATGAGGTCGCCATTACAGATGTTGATACCTTAAACACTACTGGAGATGAGGTCGACATTACAGATGGTGATACCTAAAACACTACTGGAGATGAGGTCGCCATTGTAGATGTTGATACCTTAAACACTACTGGAGATGAGGTCGCCATTACAGATGTTGATACCTTAAACACTACTGGAGATGAGGTCGACATTACAGATGGTGATACCTTAAACACTACTGGAGATGAGGTCGCTATTGTAGATGTTGATACCTTAAACACTACTGGAGATGAGGTCGCCATTACAGATGGTGATACCTTAAACACTACTGGAGATGAGGTCGACATTACAGATGGTGATACCTTAAACACTACTGGAGATGAGGTCGACATTACAGATGGTGATACCTTAAACACTACTGGAGATGAGGTCGACATTACAGATGGTGATACCTTAAACACTACTGGAGATGAGGTCGCCATTACAGATGGTGATACCTTAAACACTACTGGAGATGAGGTCGACATTACAGATGTTGATACCTTAAACACTACTGGAGATGAGGTCGACATTGTAGATGTTGATACCTTAAACACTACTGGAGATGAGGTCGCCATTACAGATGGTGATACCTTAAACACTACTGGAAATGAAGTCGCCATTACAGATGGTGATACCTTAAACACTACTGGAGATGAGGTCGACATTGTAGATGTTGATACCTTAAACACTACTGGAGATGAGGTCGCCATTACAGATGTTGATACCTTAAACACTACTGGAGATGAGGTCGACATTGTAGATGTTGATACCTTAAACACTACTGGAGATGAGGTCGACATTGTAGATGTTGATACCTTAAACACTACTGGAGATGAGGTCGACATTGTAGATGTTGATACCTTAAACACTACTGGAAATGAAGTCGCCATTACAGATGGTGATACCTTAAACACTACTAGAGATGAAGTCGCCATTACAGATGGTGATACCTTAAACACTACTGGAGATGAGGTCGACATTACAGATGTTGATACCTTAAACACTACTGGAGATGAGGTCGACATTGTAGATGTTGATACCTTAAACACTACTGGAGATGAGGTCGACATTACAGATGTTGATACCTTAAACACTACTGGAGATGAGGTCGCCATTGTAGATGTTGATACCTTAAACACTACTGGAGATGAAGTCGCCATTACAGATGGTGATACCTTAAACACTACTAGAGATGAAGTCGCCATTACAGATGTTGATACCTTAAACACTACTGGAGATGAAGTCGCCATTACAGATGGTGATACCTTAAACACTACTAGAGATGAAGTCGCCATTACAGATGGTGATACCTTAAACACTACTGGAGATGAGGTCGACATTACAGATGGTGATACCTTAAACACTACTGGAGATGAGGTCGCCATTACAGATGGTGATACCTTAAACACTACTAGAGATGAAGTCGCCATTACAGATGTTGATACCTTAAACACTACTGGAGATGAAGTCGCCATTACAGATGGTGATACCTTAAACACTACTAGAGATGAAGTCGCCATTACAGATGGTGATACCTTAAACACTACTGGAGATGAGGTCGACATTACAGATGTTGATACCTTAAACACTACTAGAGATGAAGTCGCCATTACAGATGTTGATACCTTAAACACTACTGAGAGATGCCATTACAGATGGTGATACATTAAACAGATGCCATTACAGATGATACCTTAAACACTACTGGAGATGAAGTCGCCATTACAGATGTTGATACCTTAAACACTACTGGAGATGAAGTCGCCATTACAGATGGTGATACCTTAAACACTACTGGAGATGAAGTCGCCATTACAGATGGTGATACCGTAAACACTACTGGAGATGAGGTCGACATTACAGATGGTGATACCTTAAACACTACTGGAGATGAGGTCGCCATTACAGATGGTGATACCTTAAACACTACTGGAGATGAGGTCGACATTACAGATGGTGATACTTTAAACAGTATTGGAGATGAGGTCGCCATTACAGATGGTGATACCTTAAACAGTATTGGAGATGAGGTCGCCATTACAGATGGTGATACCTTAAACAGTATTGGAGATGAGGTCGCCATTACAGATGGTGATACCTTAAACAGTACTGGAGATGAAGTCGCCATTACAGATGGTGATACCTTAAACAGTATTGGAGATGAGGTCGCCATTACAGATGGTGATACCTTAAACACTACTGGAGATGAGGTCGCCATTACAGATGGTGATACCGTAAACACTACTGGAGATGAGGTCGCCATTACAGATGGTGATACCTTAAACACTACTGGAGATGAAGTCGCCATTACAGATGGTGATACCTTAAACAGTATTGGAGATGAGGTCGCCATTACAGATGGTGATACCTTAAACACTATTGGAGATGAGGTCGACATTACAGATGGTGATACCTTAAACACTACTGGAGATGAGGTCGCCATTACAGATGGTGATACCGTAAACACTACTGGAGATGAGGTCGCCATTACGGATGGTGATACCTTAAACAGTACTGGAGATGAGGTCGACATTACAGATGTTGATACTTTAAACACTACTGGAGATGAGGTCGACATTGTAGATGTTAATACCTTAAACACTACTGGAGATGATGTCGCCATTACAGATGTTGATACTTTAAACACTACTGGAGATGAGGTCGCCATTACAGATGTTGATACTTTAAACAGTACTGGAGATGAGGTCGACATTGTAGATGTTGATACCTTAAACACTACTGGAGATGAGGTCGACATTACAGATGGTGATACCTTAAACACTACTGGAGATGAGGTCGACATTACAGATGGTGATACCTTAAACACTACTGGAGATGAGGTCGACATTACAGATGTTGATACCTTAAACACTGCTTCATGTTTTATAACCTGCGATACGAGAAGGATGGCATTTTATTATACTTTTTAACCTACCATTGGTTGAGCAGACACATTATAGATAATTTATACCCTGACAGAAATGAAACATTATATTATATTATACTTAATATGCCACTGAAGGTGAGACATAATAGAATATTATAATTTCTGTCGTACTTATGACATTAATCATTCTCGAAACCCTATTTTAGGTCAGACGTAAATTATGACACGTAATACCTGTCTTAGATGAGAAATTATCAATTTCAGTTTTATTAAAACCTGTTGTAGTTGAGCCATTAATGGATGAGTGGAGATATACTAGGTATATGGTATACTCGATTCGAACTTGGAGAGTAGAACATGATATAATTTATCCTGCTGGACATAAGGATAGGCGTGACAGATAAAGTAAGACGCTGTATACCCTATTGACGACAATATGTTTGGTTTCATTGTTTCCATATTTTTTTCATTTTTTTAAAAGTACATGTGGCAATCCTGGAAATATGGTCTGCAGATACTACTGTGATCGGTTATATGTACTCTACAATGTATACTCAGCTCAGATACATGGACTATAAATTAGTTTATGCTGTATTCCTCTCATGCGTCTTCTGTATCGAAAAGAATTGAGGAGTCACGCGCGATGTCGCGCCAGAATGTGTTTTCCGTGGAATGGCATGTCAACTCCTGTTTAACACCATACCGATCCACTTTCGAACCGGCCATGCGTCGTTTTCTATCTCGTGGCTCTATTCTGATAGCGTTCCTTGCTGCTATAGCAGCGTCCTCCGGGAAATAGTTAAATGGCAAGAGAAAAAACCCAACGTCCATTCCAGGGGTGGGGGTGACTGGAAGGTCCTCGGTGTGAGGAATGTGATGCATCCCTAGGGTAAGCCACACCACGAGATCCTGAAAATAAACAGAATTAAGCATTAGAAGCAATGTGTTTTTGGAAAAATTGAAACTTCTTTCGTAGAAGATCAGCTTTTGTTGACTTAGTCCATAAATTTATATGTCCACAAATGGTTAAAACTAACAAAAGTAGAATTATCTAGTTATATTCATTTACAAAATAAAATTGTTCACAAAAAGGATATTTTTGAAAATACCACGAAAATTTAATTCCACGAATATATATGCTTTTTTACAGACTTTATTTCTACAAAAAGGGATATCCATATTGCGAATGGGGAAATTTGTATAATGTTAAAAGCTGGTTAAAGTGTGAGGTTATATAAAGCTAAAACTAATTGAAAACGGTCAGTTTACTTGAGAAAGGTTCAGAGCATACAGTAGTATAACAGATAAAGAAGAGTTTGAAAGGATCAAGAAGATATCTCTAAAAATGTCATTGATATTCAGCCTTAGACCCATACGCAAGTGAAATAAAGCGCTTTAAAACTGACATTACCGCAAAAGAAATACATTAATGACAATTAGGTTTCTGTAAAATCCTGTATTTTCATGGGTTCAATTTTCGAGGTTTTTAAAAAATATATAATAGACATTTGATTTTATAAATAAATATAGCTCAATAAATCTACTGATGTGGATTAAGAAAATCAACAAAATCATCGAAAATTAATCCCCCACGAAAATAAATAATTTTACAGTATCAAGATCAACAATTAAGAATATTCGATCATGCGCAACATATAATGAAATAAATCAAACCAAAGTTGTTCAATTCAAATGTTAAAATGAATAGAAATGAAACTGAAACCATTTCAATAAGACCACGTGCATGTTACTTCAACGCGTCCAACACTTTCCACTAGCTTAGGGCTGAATTTCTTTAACTCTATGATAGATGAGCTATGAAGAATATATTTCATAGCGTACACTGTTTTCAAAGGTTCTTCTGTACAGTCTTCGAGGTTGCCAGTGGTAGACACTGTTGGTGGACTTTTAGTTTCCAGATTTGCCGTAACCTGCATGCCACGTATTGGTTCATTTAGATAGTAGCAAAGATCATGATATTCATGTGTATAAGACGTTCTAAAATTATGAGATGTAGATTTTAAAGCCTAGGAAGAGAATGAGAAAAACTCATAGTAATCAAAATAAAAGAAGTCAAAATGTAGATCAAGAGGTGCACTAACCCCATAATTCGGTTATTTTCGTAATTGTTATATATCTAGTAGAATGCAGTTTACTAGAAACTCGTTATCATTCTTTACTCTGTCATATTCGTAATCTGCATTTAATCCGCTTTACAGTGCGAGATATTTGCTTGAGCACGATATATTTCATTACTGATACTCATATAGGAACTAAATGGCCATGTCAAGAGTTGTCTTTTTCATTTTGTATTGAAGGGTTGTAACCAAGAAACAGACAACTTTCTTATGTTGTCGACAAAATTCTTTATATACGGCAATGCCTGCAAATCATGTCAAATTGGCGTTTACTTTCTGTTTTGTACACGTTTTGTATCTTGCAATTTCCAGAATGCGCTCAATTGTTTTCGGATTTTGCAGATTTAAACACATATTCATATTTATTTATTTACGAATCTAAAATCTATAACGAAAAGTGAAAAGTGTAATATGCATTTGTCGTCCATATTTTATCAAGAAGTTCGTGAGATAGTCTTGAAAGGATTGATACACAAGGAAATAACACATTTCGGAACAACTGGAGAATTATGTACAGTTCAGTGTTACGAGATGATATATTAAATGGTAATAAACAACTATTTCGTCTTTTAATGACTCGTCAGTGATTCCAGTGACCGCAATTGTTAAGACTTCGGAAAATTCAAAAAAAAAAAAAAAAAAAAAAAGAGAGATTTTATCGATATCAATGTCAAATTCCGTATTTGGGGAAGAAGACACTAACCCTATCAGTTATTTTTTTTTATATTCAACACCAAGTTGTTTAAAACAATATCAATGATATTTGTATATTCGGAACCGTGCTAATATCCAAATAAAATAATACGTACTTGAAGTCCACCGGTAGTGTTTAATGCCTTTTATCTTAAAGGATTATGAAAAACACACAGTTGAATAGCATAGTCCATAAAAAAAACAATTAGTATTCCTAGTTATAGTGTTCTTTCGAAGATAACTTTAAATACATACCTCGTCCAATATGGATTCGTTGTCATCTAAAAAGTCTTGGAACCTTACAACTGGGTTTGAAGCGTCAAGTGCGGCATGCTGCGAGCTGCTGAAAGTCTCCGTTTCCTTCCGCCGTGTCACCGCCATCTGATATCGCGACCAAGACATAGAAGGTTCATTATCATATCCTTCCGCCAGCAATGGCTTTGTCATTCCTCGTGGTAACACACGATACGATCTGTGTACGCCATATTTATTTGTTGATCTATTATTATAAAACGTAAGATATTTTGGTGAATTAAAATCAAACTTGTAGGCAGCGCTCATTTCATCTGGTTTCACGTTATGACTGAATTTGGTTTGATGATATTTTTGTCCACCGACCTTACCCCAAGTATTGTCTACAGTGTCTGGTTCAATATCAAGAGTTGCGAAGCGATTACTCGTACCCATAACATCAAGATCGACTTTGAAATGTATCAGGTGATGGTGAAGATTTCCGGTAATAAAGTCGTGTAGGCGATATCCATACGGGTTCTCTTCCGGTCTGTAATAACTAGTTGAAATAAAACCTGTAGAAAGAACACGTACTTGGAAAGCACCATTTTGGAAAAAGCGGAAATCAATTACGTAATCGTAATTCATGACAGTGAGGATGGTCCTAAATACGAGAATAATGCTCTCCATTCCTTCGTAAGAGGTCTGGCTAAGAGGTTCGTAATTAAAATGTCGGCGATGCGGGTCGCCTGTATTCAGTTCAAATATGCAGAACACATTTCGAGTGGTGAACGGCTCGTCGGACGTCTCCTTGAGGAAAGAGGCATCGATAAATGTCGCGTGAGACGGACAATCTACCCCAGGCACGAGAGGACTAGCCTTCGGGCCAATGAGATCAAAAGAATCGAAAAAGTCAGCAAACATCTGAGCTGGGTTGTTAGCCGAATAGAACACGCATAATTCCTGTAAGCCAATCTCATACATAATTCGTTGACCATCGTACCGGACGTCGTAGAGTTGTGGTCCATGCGCACTAGACATTCGGAAGTCGAATCTCCATCGCATATAAGTCACGTGATTATAATTTACACTATATCGCTTTCCGTCTAGTTCAACCTGTGCAGGGTTTCGGAGAGGTTCCTCCCAAAACGGTTTCCCGCGTCTTTCTGCCTTTGAAAACGACTTGTCGTGATTTGGGTCGGGCCATGATGGTCTCGTCCTATTGAGAAACACACGAGATTTGAAATCTTCTATCCCGTCATAAGTAGTTCCACTGAACCATATTTTTTCAATGGCGAAATCAGAACTACCAGAGTTAACTAAAACAGAGAAATCTAAATTGTTCAACAAATAGTTTTCTTTGTTCCGACTCAGCCAGAACCAAAACTTTCGGGTTTGCTCCCCGCTGAACGTTGGTGACATAGTAGAAAAATAGGTGAGAATGAGACATTCGGAGCCACAATCACTGAGAGTTCCACCGTAGAACGTCTGTAGGTACTCTCGAAGCCTCGTATCAAGTTGTTGTTCTGCAAAGAGCACCGCCTTATCGAGTTCTGGTATGTTACTTGGTCGTAATATGTAGGGAACAGAGGATGGTCGCCCAGGAACTGGTCTCATGTAAGTCGGATTTGGAAGAGGGCCGACAAGTCTTTCGATGACGTCAGGTGGGTTTTCTGCACCTCGAAATATAGTTACAACTGCCTCCCTAGCTGGCTGTTTTCCATCGCCATCTAAATGTCTTAACACATCGTCTTTGTTGGGTAGGTACAGCTCGGCTAGATAGCGGTAGTTGGTGTGTACTGTGTTGAAGGGAGGTCTGGTGATGTTGAGGGATCCCTCTTGTGTCAAGTAAGAAACGAGGCCACGGATCTCAGTGGCTGTCAAGTCATGAAACACAGACGGCTCAGACGGTTCGCCACGATAGACAGTACCATGTGCCTTTTGCGAAGTTTCGGACTTACTGACGTCACTGATCACAGTCGCCATATACACAATCACTACCAGGAAAGCCAAACACGTCAGTAACAGGAACAAGGCAAGACTGCGCCATCTGTTGACTCTTTCGTTTTCTCCTTTCTGTTCAACCATTTCACTACAATCATATTAAATTCTTTTTTTTTATTAAGATGAGAACATTATGCTAAAATTTAGAATAAAATTTCATTGAATTAATGAATATTGGATTTTTGAATTCCATGTGTCCTTAAGGTGCATTTTTTTACAAATATTCTAAAAACAAATATCGACCATAATGGAAGAGCATGGTCTCCTCTCCTTTAAAATAATATTGAGGCAACCTTTATGGATTCTGGTGCATGAAAACCTATAAAGGGGAGCTGAAATAAACCTAAACATCAATAATCATTGCAAAGAGAACAACTCTCCGTGCCATCCTGACAGAAGATGCAGAAAGACAAAAGTATGAACGAACAAATTCTTTCAAAATTTCAAAGTTATAATGTGTTCAGTGATGCCGACTTTCATATTGCTGAAGAAGTGATGAATGATTTTCATGATAAGCGCTTTTTTTCAGCGAATAACAGTACAGAATAATGTCAGAACTTGACATGTCAAAATGGGACGCCGATGTGCTAGTGTGCTTATTTACAATTTTGCTGTTGCTTGGAAGTAAATGTTAACAGCTGCCCGGTCTCCATATGAAATCTACGTCGTCCTTGATCTTTGAACTTACGGGTAATCAGAAAAATGTGGTGTTTCTTTTATAATTGCTGACAGGTATATTAGTCTAAGATACTTCCACATGTACATGATACAGGACCTAACCGCTTCATAGAGGCTATCGGGTTCTAGACATTAATATCGGACCTGTCCGAGATGAGTTTGTTGTTGTATGTTAAATATGTGTGACTTCTTGTTTCACACATATGTGTGGCTAAGAGTAATAATGAACCTTGAATATTGAGATAGCCAGTGGGGTTACAGTTATGGTCTATCGAATCAAACCGATAATCTGACAATACACCAACACTTTTCTTTGGTTAGCTTATCAGATATCAGCTATTTCCACATGTGTGTTGGGAGGGTTGCACAAACAATATTTAACCAAATGTTAAACACAGTTCAGTTCATGGTTCAGCATCTTTACACATCATTGAAATTCCTTTCGGAACATAAGTCTCACGCCTCAGACTTGTGTGAAGAGTGTGATCTTTGAGAGTAGGGGGAGAAATATTATGCAACCGTGTTTACGAGGTTAATCAAGAAATTTTACAATTCTGTGTCAGAATAATTACTTTATAGAAGTACCCTATTATTACAACCAAGTATTGATCAAAGCATTAGCTGCTTTGACAAGCAGTGTATCAAAATATTTAGATGCCTTTGACCCTAGTGGCTATCTACGAAGTCTATCAAACGGTCAGGTGGTTTCAACCTATTAAGCGTTATGGCGGTTTCAATCTATTAAACGACCACGTACTGAATTTGGTTATAGAGCGGTGAAGTTGTGTCTTGTTCTGCTTGTTTGACAAGTACTGTGTCATCAATACTTATGTGGGTTGCTCTTTTGTGTCTTCAAATACCCATGAACCGATTCATGCTCGCTTTTTGACGTTTTACATGTTCTCTGATGTCTTTGCCTGTGTTCGGAGTTTGATTATTATGTTTCTTTTAAATACTAGGATTTCTGGGCGGTAATGGTAGAAGCAAGAGGTGTACAACGACAATTCTTCAGAAGACCAAATAATTCCTGTTTCTATGTTTTTTGGTTGTTTTCTGTGGTAACTGCTGTAATGGATTTTCCTATTGTTTTCATTAATCGTTCAATTTATCTGTTTGCTTGCAGCCATAATGTTTAGTCTTTCTGTGGTGAAAACCAGTGAAATTATTACTGCTTAATTGTGGCCTACTATTCATTTGGGAGATGTATGGCATTCTTGACGTAGCGCAAGTTTTGACAAACAATACTACATCAGCACGGGTAGTAATACTTGTCTGTGTTTAAACAACAGGATATTTCGTGTAGTCATCAACAAGAACCGTTAGATAATAACTAGAATGGAAAAGTTCACTTAAGTCCATGCTGACCTGCGTCCATGGTTATTTGAGTTATAAGAAGTGGTTTTGTTCAAACGATAGACAAGGTATGCATTCTTTGTACATTATCTTCTGCACTTTGTTAACACTGGGCAATTTCCCTCGGAGTAGCTGTTTTGTTTTCACTATTTACCAATATCCTTCACGTGCTTGCTGCATGACTTGGCTGAGATGAGACTGTTGTATGCTAAACATGTGCTATCTCTTGTTTCAAATCCATGTATGACTAAGAGCAACGATAAAATCCTTAATCTACGATCAGTCCAACCAATTAAACCTTTATTCTACACTATAGCTGTGAAACTGTAACACAATAACAATGGTTTGACGTGCTTTCCTGTTATGTTTTAACCAGAATAATGGTGGTCATGAGCAACTAGTGATATGGTACATAAAGAACCTATATGCATGATGTAAACGTTGCAATTGTTGTTATTGATCTTTATATATTGAAAACAAACTTTGCCAACTAACAGCATAGTTGCATACAATAATACAAAAACTGAAGATCCTTTGGAAGTGAAGAATGCCACAGAATAATGTAAAATGTTTAGAATATTTGTCTGCCCTTTTTTTAAAAAAAGATATCAGATTACTACAAAACTGATATATGGTGGTATAATTCTATCTCAATGTAGAGAATATCGAAGAATGAATCCGAAAAGGTTTGCGTTTATCACTCCTCATATTACATTGATAAGATAGATGCCGCCATCTTTAAATAAGGATCTTATGGCATATACACAGTAGCGAAAAGATATTTATGGACAAATTACATTAAGACTATATTTTAACGTAATCTTAAATTAGTTTTGTGGTTATTTTGTTTAATTGCAGAATGGCTTTTACAAGCATGTGGGAACCAAGAGATGCTCTGTTTACATGGCGTCGTCATCTTAGAACAACAGCTAAAATAAAGTTAAGTATTATATTTACTTGTTTAGCATGACATCAAGATAGCACAGCTTTGATTTAAACTTCTGTGTTAACATACATATAATTAGTCATATAACAATAACATGCTGAGGACGAAAACTTACCCCATTTTCTTGGCCAGTATGATCATGTAATTCAAAATAACCTGTGATGCCAGATACACTCAGCTAAGTGGAGGCAAGCCCGGAAAAAAAATAGAATGTGTGGTGTGCGTGTCTTAGATAATTAGTATAAAGATGAATGGTCGTACTGGTTTTATACGTAAACAAGTCGGACTGGGCAGTCAAACGTCCATCTGGCAGTGAGGGAGGCAGCAAGGTCACATTGGGTCAGTCAGGACAGCTGTATGTAATTAGTACAGATTAGCTACTTTTGTGTGGCATATAAATTTTGTTGAAAGCCTTGTTTCGGAAGTTACAGTTTGAAAGTTTGAGAACACAGACATGTTAATGTAGACTTGTTTGGTTTCGGTTGTGTAACTATATAGGAGTGAAGTGAATTATTTGCTGTCATATTGAGACTCATATATTGAATATGGAAACTAATGTGAAGTCTGTCCGTTGCACCTATATGTATGTGGACACACATATATATATACCTTATGTAAATAAACGGTAGATATTATAAAAAAATCTTTATCTTTGGTTTGAAACCAACACCATCCCCGCCACAATTTCAATACAGGTGCTTTCATACAAAGGAGAAAAATTTACCTTCAGACGGCCATTACTCAATAAAATCAAACTATCAGGGCTATGATTTTTCTCTTCGTCAGTCCGTCCGTCCGTTCCTGCGTATGTGAAGTTTATCAGCGCTCTAACCGCTTCATTCCTTGTGGGGATCCCATTAAACTCAATACAATTATAAAGCATCAAATCATTTTGGACAAATTTGAGTTACAGAGTTGCTGGGTCAAGGCCAAGGTTACTTTAACTTTTTTTTCAAGAAGATTTACAAATCAGCATTTTTGAGGCCTATAAGGGACGTGTGATGCTTCAGCAACACTCGGTATGCTTGGCATTCTTTATTTTATTTTAGATTCCTAGCCATTTTTTTCAAAACTGCTCATTTGTTATTATATGTACTCATATCGGGATCTATGTTTACTTGTTAAGGTCGTCTGACCAAAAGGGTAATCAACAACATTTTGGATTTGATAGCCAAAAGTAACACTGTTAACAATCATCAAAGTTTATTTGTGTGTTAGTTGTTCATATCTGCATTTCTACACGAATTTCTGCTGACTTTAACACTCTCTGGTAAAAATAGTAATAATTCAATATACATAGACATGGCCCTCGGATGTAGAAATTTCAAGAAATTACGTTTATGCTTCTTGTCATCTGATAATTGAATTGTTATAAGTTATAAGTAAACTAATTAAAACTCAACTCACACTTAAAAGTTCTACATTTCTCAAGACACCATTCAATAAACGTATTCTTGTTTTGAGAAAACTTCTTTATTTACAGTTACAATTATTTACGTGTTTTGTACAATTTTGAAAAAAAGCGGAGACAAACCTAACAGTTAAGATATCAAAGAATGTCAACCTACATTGCATTATGATACCAGTCTACGGATTTGCATGTGTATCATTTTGAGTGACCATGTATTTTAGTATGAATGGTAAACGGTAGATATTGTTTGTCATCACCACTACCGGAAGTCATCCATGACTGATATCGTGAACTTTAACCTCTATCGACAAGAAATTTTATAATGAAATGTAATGTTAACTACCAACTACCACATTTTAAAAATTTCTTTTGATATTAAGATTTTATTTACAAAACCCACACTTTAGATGGTAATATGTTACGCAATTTATCCCGTGAAAGGTGATCATTATGTTTATATAAACTATATATAGAACTCAAGGTCGTTACAATCTCTCTCGTGATATCATCTGATATCATGTTTATTCGTTACATACCACCTAGGAAGATGTCTAAGATTCGAGAACCATGCTATCTGTTTCGTCTTACATAATAATTATATTCGTCTGTCAGTGGTAGATTTGGCGCTGTGGTGAACGTCACCTTGCCGTTTTCGATATTGCACTATCACTTTCGTTTGTTGAGTTGATTGTCCTTTCAGCAACCAATGTCAATTTGAAGTTGGCTCTCCTTAAAGTAGCAGGTGACTATGTCTTTGAACCTTGTATGGAGGCCCGCCTCATGCTAGCGAAAGCATCTGGGGTAGAGAGTTTTGTCAAAAGACATAACAACATTATAAAACAGATCGTAATTTCGTCTACCTGAGAAAACAAGAAGGACCCTGATAGGAATCGAACGAACACATCGGAACCCCTCTAATGTTACAAAAATCGATGTTCTATCAGGGTCACAGTAAAACGATAACACTTCACCTATAACTGTTTCCATTTCTCGTTAAATGTTCAAATCATGTTCTGGTTGTGATTGAATCTCATTTGATTGTAATCGATTGTAGAATTCGAGAGGAATTTTATAGTTGAAAATAGGCGTGATTTTTAATGTTTCAACATTTTACGATAGGCGTTAAATAATGTGTTTGTAAGCAATGAAATTATAAGGTTCTATGGCGATTATTTCATTCGCGGAGACTAATGTATAAATCTAGATGTTATCCAAAGGAAAAGTGAGCTTTCCGTATTACACGTGTTTCCCATCAAAGTGTTGTCTTGTGTGCAAAATCCGAAAAATGTCAAGGTTTATACGTGCCAACATTGCGTTGTCGAAAAAAACTCAAATAAGAATTCGACCGACAATTCCATGTATAGAAAACTCTGACAAAGAAAACTTTTTTTTTGCAATGGCTTAAATGAGTCAACGTACATCTGTAACCATGTCTTCACATTCATACGGCTGGTGTACCCTGTTGGCATATGACATTTTTCTGCAGAAAACAAAGCTATCTCCTGCATTGATACGTTTAAGTGACATATATGCGAAGTGCCAAACATTCTAATATTAAGCGTTCAAAGTGAACGAACACGAGTGCTTATATCCAAACTCCATGTCATGTCACGCACAATACGCTCCATGCAGATGTTGTCTGTATTGTGTGGTTATGAAATGTCACATGAACCGACATCTCGAGTTCATTTACAAGCTTCCTGTCTCTCTCGCGTGACAAAAACATGTCGATCAGCAACATTTAAGGAAACTCGAGAAAAGTTTGTTTCCATAACAGTAGTTGTGTTGTTTCATATTTCAACAACATAATGTGTATGTTTTAAAAAAATCCAGATCCTGTTTTTTTATATACAATTTTTTAAAGAACAAATATGCAACCGATGTAAATAAATGTTCGCATCTAGCTTAAACAAATGGTAATCCAATCTCCAAGGCGACATTTCATATTTTGCATTACTACTCTTGGTCTGATATTTGCAACTGTAATTCAAGACATTATCAGTAGTGTGTACTTTTCCTACTGACACAGAGTTGTTACACACATGTTTACTTTGCCAAACACATACTAGTGGGCATTTATTGGAGTAAACTATCTGTTTTACGCGATACTCAATGCATATACCAATTATTGTACTCCTGGATCATTTGCGTTTTTGTAACAAAGGTCGTTTTGGGGAAAGAGTTCCTTTTGAACCCCCCACCCAGACTACCAGTAAGCTATAATAAGTCTAAAAGGGTTTATTTTAAGGGGTACCAAGAAAAATTGGGGCATGGTCTTAAAATCAACCCTTTCAGACACTTGTATTATATTTACCAGGTTTAATAACCCATTGGTAGCCACTTTGGGTGGGGGGTTCAAAAGGAACTCTTACCCGTTTTGGTTTTTAGCCGCTGATGATTGAACCAAGAATTACTAGCTTACTGATTGCCGCTCTACTGACTGAACCAGCTGAATATCAGGTTCAAAACAGGAAGCGCCACATGTCTGAACAATATCTTAAGACTGGACAAAACTTAACCTAATTTTATCGTTACAGTTCTGGCCCCACTTGTATAAAACATCTCAACTTGAGATTTCCTCAAGTCGAGATTTTCCTCATCTGATATCTCCTCAAAAACGGCTTGTATAAGATTTTCTCAAGGAACAGGAGGAAGGCATCGGCTAGGATGTCCTGAAATTCCTTGAGGAATTTTCATACAAAATATTTTCAAGGAGATATTAGCTGAGAAAAATCTGGGCTTGAGGAAATCTCAAGGTGAGATGTTTTATACAAGTGGGGCCTGCTTTAGAGAATATCGAGTAAAAACAAACAGCAATACCTAAGTCACGACAGGTACTTTAAACCAACTAAGCACCATTTAAGTTTAGTTAATCACTTGTTGACAGATAATCGCATTGATATATTAGTGCATTCGTAAGAATTAGTTATATAACCAGAATATAATTACTGCAATTAGCACATTTATATTTTAGCGCAATAATCTTAGCGGGAAGAGCGCTAAAACAAGACAACCTCTAAGATATGTACGTTTGCAGTATTTAGGAAAGGTGTTTAGTCATTTAGGCGTTTAATTCAAAACAAGCTAAATCATTTCAATGTTTATAACACAATCAGACAGGCAACACACAAGCTCACAGCTGGTGCAATGTTAAAAAAGCGTTTTCAGTCTGAGAAACATAACCCAGGTTCGTCGATCTTGTGCAGACAGGGGTCTTCCAATTTAGTGTCAATTGAAGCACGACAAGTGGAGACAAACTCGGTGATGTAAACTTCAATGATGTTTTATTAAGTTTAACAAATATACCTGAGATTAATATGTTTAAGGCAACAAAAACGAGATAATTACACTCTCCCGTACACCAAACACATTATTCAAACTAACTACAAGGTGTGACTCTAAAGATATAGACGACAGATTAGTCAAATTCACCTTACATGACTAGATACTAATGTTCTTTTTCTACACATCAAAAAATACTGCTCCGTATTCTATACTCTATATATTCTGTTCTATACATCCAACTGCCACCTTTACTATAAAATGACAATTTAACATTGAATCCCCAAGACTCTACCGTATTTACTACCGTACTTCTACACTACCGTAAGGAGAGTAAAGAGAAAGAAAAAGATACAATTAGTCTAGACAATAATTTTCCGCTGGCTACCGACCTATAGAAAACTACCGGCATTTATTGCTGAAATACGGCAAACTGCAAGTGCAGAATTCACTCTAGATATCGAGACACTCGCGGCAGGTAAACAGCCGTATCTTGTTT